TATCTTCACATGTGCACAGATCCCCCCTCCCATCCCCCAGGCCCCATAGCAGCCATGTGCCCCGCTTTGGTCATGGTCACACCACAGGATCCCAGATCATCAGATTGCCAACCAAACCAGCGTGACTGTCCTACAGACAAGACTATTTAGCCTTTGAAATGCCCCTGGAGGTCTTACAGTGGTTCCTTTGGTGGATGACTAGTGTCTCTCTCCGCGCAAAGTATTTCCTGCAATGTGGACAGGAATACGGCCTCTCGCCAGTGTGAACTCTCAAATGATTGTCACGGTTGGCTTTGGTGGAGAAAGATTTCCAGCACTCTGGGCAGGGAAAGGGCCTCACTCCGGTGTGGACCAAATAGTGTCTTGTGAGGTGCATTCTGAGGGTGAAGGCCTTTCCACACTCGGAACAGGAGTAGGGCTTCTCCCCCGTGTGCGTCCTATGGTGCCGAGTGAGCTGTTGTCTTTTCCTAAAGGTTTTCTCGCATTCGGAACAGGAGAAGGGCTCGGAGTGCTCTCTCTGGTGAGCAGTGAGTTGCGATTTGAGTCCGAAGCGTTCTCCGCACTCGGAACACTTGAAGTTCTTTTCACCGGCGTGGAGCCTCTTGTGTGCAATCAGGCCGCAGTTCGTCAGGTACAGGTTTTCGCACTCGAGGCAAGAATAGATCTTCTTGCCGGCATGACCCATTAGATGTATGCGGAACACTTTTCTCTTTTTGAAACCTTTTCCACACTGTGAACATGAAAATGGAAACTCAGCATTGCGGTTTCTCGGGTTGACCGTGTCCAAACTGATGAAAGAATATTGCTCAGGGTTAGAAGACTCTGGTGATCCATCCGCACTGGAACAGCTCTGCTGGAGGTCTGGGATAACAGTATGCGATTTATCATTGGATTCCTCATAAATAAAAGAATCTGCTGAGCTCTCCATATCATCAAGTTCATGATGTATATATTGGGTACCGGGGTTCACTTCTGGAGAATATCGTGCCATGCCATCATCTTCTTCATTATAATCTGGAGGTAAAATAAGATGTCCCATTGAGGTGTTCCAGCCACCGTGTCCACCTGTTGAAAATATATATTTTTAATAATAAGTTTGTTGGTCACATGACGTTATATTGAGGAATGGAGATGGACCTTCATATGGTGTACAGTATCTCCTCCTCATTTGTTGGTCACATGACGTTATATTGAGGAATGGAGATGGACCTTCATATGGTGTACAGTATCTCCTCCTCATTTGTTGAGTATTATGGTCAATACAACAATTGTGTTCTTCTGATGAGGAGTGGAGACTGATCTGTCACATGGTGTACAATACATCCACCACATTTGTTGGGTGGTAGGATAGATACGTTGATGACGTTCTTACAGATAATAATGGATATTTTATCTTAGGTTGAAGATGTTCTCTATCTTGGTGGAACAATATTTTTGTCTTTCAGAGGATGGCGCACAGTCTGTTCTTCACCAACTTTTAAAACCAGTAATCAAGAAATGAAGGCCATACCAGTTTTTTTTACAATAGATGACAAATAAAATCAGCGTCCCTGCTTTGCTGGTACAACATTCCTTTTATTAGACGGTGAGAAGGTTTACTAATTCTTTGACTTTTCCGATCGATCTGCTTGTCTTAAACTTGACAAATGACAATGGAAATGTGAAGTGCTACATGTTACGTATGTGATACACACCTGTACTGATATCTAGAGAAGATTCCTCCTTTGTGATGGTCACCGTCATTTCAGCTTCCTTCATAGACAGTTGATTTTCCCTCACATGCGTCTCTTCTTCCGCTTTAACCTCAGTTTTCATGTCCTCATCCTAAAAGCACAAAAATGATTATGATCGCTTATAACCTAAATGGAAGAACATAATATAATATAGGATTGTAGCAGACTCACCCGTCCGTCGTTCGGGGATCAGCGCAGGCTTCCGCCGCGTCAACGCGGACGTCACCAGGCCCCTCCTCCTGTCTGTTTAAGCCACGGGATTCAATTCCCTGGCATTCGAGCAAGGGAGAAGACACCGGGAAATACCGCTCCTACCCCAAGCGCTGAACCTGTCTCACACACCCTGATCTCTGCAGTCTCTGAAAATTGCCTCAATCTCAAGCTTCACTCCCTTAACAGAGTTACTGGATCGTATTTACTGCTTGCCATTATGGAGCAGCACCCCTGACTGCCTATTGGGGTTACGTTGCACTAAGCAACCACAGATATTCCAGATTGATCGCCAGCGCAATACTTCTAAACCGCAAGTACTAAATATACCAAACGAAATACCAAATGACTGTCTGTGAAATATTTCCTCTGATATAAAATATCCTCTCACTGTTCTACTATCGAGTTGATTGCATGTTGAATATTCCTGATTGAAATTGCTTGTTTATCCATCTGCATTACTCAGAGAGGGAGTATGTGTGATACACTTCCCGCACTTGCAATCTGTTAGCCTGTGATACACTTCCCGCACTTGCAATCTATTCGCCTGTGATACACTTCCCGCACTTGTAGTCTATTAGTCTCCAGGGAAGCTGGACATAACTCATTGCCCAAAGCAAGTTAAACCCCTCCACATCACATCCTCACTGTGAGTTATCGCACACAGGAGTGCTCGGGGTGTTACAAGGATAGAGTAAAGCTTGAAGACAACATTATCAATCAAGCTTGAGTTCCTTATCCTTGGTTCCTCCTACCTGATCATGGTGAGGGACCTCCTGATGTTCCTGTGTGGAATCCCGGGAATACAGAGGACTGGGACATCTCTCTGGTGGGTTCCTCTTACTGGATCCATCTGTAGGAAACACACACACTGACTGAATACATTGTTTCTATTTGTGTGTCAGATGATGGGGGATCTAGGTGGACCCTCCGTACTGCTCTCTCCTCTTACCCGGTGATGTGAGGGGCGGCTCATTCTCCATCACGATGTCCTTGTAGAGATCCTTAAGTCCTCTTGAATACTTCCACTCCTGCGTCATACCATTCTCCTCCTCTTCTACCTTTATCTCTTTTTTGATACTAATATTACAGTTGCTCCAGTTTCCACTCTGAATATAAATGTAAGATAATTAATATGCACCCAATGCCCAGATAATAATATAACTATATTTAATGTTATTGTTAATCAACCTGATCATGGTGAGGGATCTCATGATGTTCCTGTGTGGAATCCCGGGAATACAGAGGACGGGTCTGAGGGATCTCATGATGTTCCTGTGTGGAATCCCGGGAATACAGAAGAGGGGCCTGAGGGATCTCATGATGTTCCTGTGTGGAATCCCGGGAATACAGAGGACGGGGACATCTCTCTGGTGGGTTCCTCTTACTGGATCCATCTGTAGGAAACACACACACTGACTGAATACATTGTTTCTATGTGTTTATCAGATGATGGGGGATCTAGGTTGTGCTGAATCACCGGTGGACAATCTAGGAGAGCCCCCAGAGCAATGCTGGATGCCAACTTCTTGTATATATCTGAGCAATATATGAGCAAGTTGAAAAACACAGAAAAGAAGGGGTGACCCAATATGGGGCCGACACCAGAACAAGACCGGGAGGCACCAGACCGAAATAATGTTTCAGAGATTGAACAGCAGCCATTCCTCTATATAGTGCTTATCCCTCACCTGTTTTGTTCTCTGGATGGACTTCCTCTTCTTTAGATGGCCAATCACCCTCAACGCATCCCTTCTCTACTGCATTGACATCTTCTGCTTTAATACTGTTGACCTTGAGACCTTCCAGTGCGGGATCAGAAGGATGGGAAACCTAAAACACACACAATGATACAGTCACCACCCGGACACATCCTTGTCTGTTCCTGGACCATGTCCCAGAATTCCCGGCACCGCTCACCTCTCCTGTCAACAGCTCTATGATCTTCTTGGTGGCTTCTAGGATCTTCTTGTCGTTGCTCCTCTCTTCAGTCAGTAAGAAATGTAGAGGAACCATAATGGGGTTCTGTCCATCTACCGATGTCTTTTTGGCAACGATGTCATCCTGTGGAGAGAAAGTAGAAATTATTATTATATTACATTTCCACCCAAAGACGTTGCAGCTTTCTGCCATCCATCTGATCATGCAAGGTGGAAGTTGGAGGTTCTCTTCATGGTATGCAGTGGTGAGGAAGAAACATTTCACGCCTGGGCAAAGTCCGAACCTTAGATCTTGGCTGTACTGAGCTGGTATGTCTGCCAAAGAGTCCTACAGAGCAGCTGTAAGACCTTCACCCCTTATAGGATGTCTATGGGAGGCTTCAGACAGTCCCACCAGCAGGTCATTGGAGAAAGCAGTCCGACAGGTTCGAACACCTTGTCCAATCAGCAGGGCCGGATTCACTCTCTCTGCTGCCCCAAGGCCAGGTTCCTCCATGCGCCCCCCTACCCTTCAATGTATTATA